CCAGAACTATGAGTGTCCTGTCCTAAAGCTGAACCTGATGTTGGTCACGACTGGTAGTGACTGAGACCTACAGACCATACTGTAGTAATGCTATGAAGTAGACACTACTTCATAATGCTGCAGAGACCTTAGTACAGCACCTAGCATCCCTGTTGGGTGGATAGGACCTTTTGGTGTACTCTTCAACTATAGCCCCTCTTCCCCATCCTGAGCCTCTCTATCTGTGGGGGAGAGCAGGAGATCCGCTACAACTGTGGTGGTGGTGGTGAAAGAAGCATTATAATGTCATGGTCAATGAAGATTGACACTTATGAAAACAACACATTACTAACACTGAAACCACTGCATATTAGAGATGTAAACAAAGGACTGGAGTATAATATTGCTGAAGAGAACCTAGATTATTGTCATCTTTAATGATGGGAAAACATGCAAGCGCTGAGCCTTAATGGAGTAAAGTAATAGCTCTATTCTGGCTGTTTACATCTGCATATAAACAGCAGCTGTGCAGCTGAAGGAGCAGTGGGGCCAATGAGAGTCTGTTTCTGATTATCTGGATGGAAAAATATGTATCAGATCAGCATCATCGTGCAGCACATCTGACGTCTGGCCAGGCCAGAGCATTGCCTCACTGGAGGGTCCGAGCTGCTGGGCTGACCTGGTCTGTGCTGCTACAGATTGTTTTTGCTGGATGCAGATGTGCAGGGTTAGGCCCAGGGCGAGGCCTGATTTGGAGCATGATGGGGCTCCACGTCTGCAGGGGGTGGAAGTGTCATTATCTAGGCTATAACTCAATGGGGACTTTGGTGGGGTTGAGGTGACATTCTTTTAATTGGTTTGAGAATTTTCTACACTATAGAGGGGTTGCAGTTGCGTCCGATATTACCTAGAACCACACCAGGCGCCATGTTGGAAGACCAGAGTCACTGTGGTGGAACTTTGTTGCCCTGTGTCCTCCAATCATCCACATGGCTGGCTGCGTTTTGCTACCACCGAAAACATTGTGAAGATTGCCCATTATTTTCTTTTTCGAAGGACCCAGAAAACGGAGGCAGTGGGAGAACCTATTTAATTAAGTAAATACATTTTGAAAATGTAATTTTTTTTATTATTAGCTAGCTAGTTTGCTACAGTAACATTAGTGTGCAGGCTAACTCAAATGAGCTGCTAGCTAGCTAGTTAACTTTACACACTGTATAACGTTAGCTGGCTAGCTACACGGGTATAAGGCCCTCTCCCGTCCTCCTTTCGGAAAATCTGACCATGACTCCATCTTGCTTCTCCCCACCTACAAATAAAGACTCAAGAGGGACGTTCCGGTGATCAGGTCTGTACAGAGTTGGTCCGACCAATCAGAATTCACGCTCAAAGACTGTTTTGATCACGTGGACTGGAATATGTTCCGGGTTGCCTCTGGAGATAATGTCAATGAATACGCCGACTCAGTCACCCGATTCATAGAAAAATGCATAGATGGCCTCCCAAGTGGTGCAGCGGTCTAAGGCACTGCATCGCAGTGTTTGAGGCATCACTACAGCCCCGGGTCCGATCCCAGGCTGTGTCACAGCCAGACGTGACCGGGAGACCCATGAGGCACCGCACAATTGGCCCAGCGTCGTCCGTATTAGGGGAGGGTTTGGCAGGCCGGGATTTCCTTGTCCCATCGCGCTCTAGCGACTCCTTGTGGCGGGCCGGGCGCCTGCAAGCTGATTTCGGTCACCAGTTGGACGGTGTTTCCTCCGACACATTGGTGTGGCTGGCTTCTGGGTTAAGCGAGCAGTGTGTCAAGAAGCAGTGCGGCTTGACAGGGTCGTGTTTCGGAGGACGTATGTCTCTCGACCTTCGCCTCTCCCGAGTCCGTAGGGGAGTTGCAGCGATGGGACTGAAACTACCAATTGGATATAACAAAATGGGTAAAAGTACAAATAAATAAGTAAATAATAATACAAAAATGCATAGATGACATGATACCGATAGTATTTTTCAAAACGTACCTGAATAAAAAAAAAAACTGTGGATTGATAGCAGCCTTGTAGGAAAACTGAAAGATCATGGATTACAAAAAGAAAGCCAGCCACATCACGGTCACCAACACCATCCTACCAGACGAGCTAAACCCTGAGCTGCTGAGGAGAGCCCCCGATTTCAACGTGGGCTACACACTCACAGTCTCCACTTAGGATGTTTGTAAGTAATTCAAACGTGTTAACCCTCGCAAGGCTGCCGGCCCAGATGGCATCTCTAGCCATGCCCTCAGAGCATGTGCAGACCAGCTGGCTGTTGTGTTCTTTGACATTCCTGTGTGCAAATGTTTTCACCATGTCCTGTAGGTCCAGGTTGCGGGCCCGACTGTTTTCCATACTGAGTATTGCCAACCCAGTCTTTCCTGAGACATTGTGCATTATATGTCATTTGCGCTGCACACAATTTATTTTAGTCTCTGTGTTGTTGTTGTTTTTATCGCACTGCTTTGCTTTATCTTGGCCAGGTTGCAGTTGTAAATGAGAAGTTGTTCTCAACTGGCTTACCTGGTTAAATAAAGGTGAAATAAATACTTAGTCTTGAATGATGCATGCCAAGATATACCAGAGATAAGGGACTGTTGATATTGCAACTACACAACTCAAACGCCAGTTCACCAGTATGAACGAAATTGCGAACCACTTTTTTTGTTCAAGCCCTCAAGAACTGTTGTCTGCTAAATATGATAATCTGTTTGCATCTGCCAATTTACTGGCTGTCCAGTATCCAGACAACCTGTCCCCAGAGCTTCCTAAACAATTATTATCTTTCCATAACGTGTTGAGGACGGCAATTAAGGAGACTGAGAGGCTCAATTAAATATGTTACAGAACTGCTGTATTTGAAGCATCACTCCCTTCTGCCCACTCCCTGATGTTGCTACGGAAATCAGCCATTATTTACCATCCCTGTAACTGTCGCTTCTGCGGAAAGATCGTTTTCTAAACTAAAACTCATAAAGAACTATAGAAGCATTAGGCTCTCGGTCTGATATGCACTTTTGAACACCTGAGTAAGCTCCTCTCATTGCATTAGCGCCATCATAGCCTTGACCACAGCATTTGTTCACCGATATCCCCTTACTTTCAATTAGTTAAAAAAAAGGTCAAGGCCTGTGGCACTTTTTCTGTCACATTCCTGAAGCCCAAGAAACAAACATAGTACATATGGAAATTCAAAAGGTTTATGAATTACTTTTTGGAGGGTTACTGTCAAAATGTTTTTTTTATTTTATTTTTATAGATCATTTGAATCTACAGTAGGCATAAGCTATTACTGTAAAGAAATACAGTATGTTAGAGTAAGTTTTACAGGAGGATTCCAATTACAGTTAATAACAGTCTTTTTCAGCATTTTACCCATAATGCAGTGCAATCTACAGCATTAATGCTCTAAAACACATTTACAGTATTTTACTGTGCATTCTACAGTGTTTAACTGTTGAAATTACAGAAAAGTCTTACCGTGTAGGCTAATACATTTCAAAACAAGTTAAACAACAAATCTTTACTATCTTTACATGCAAGCACATGCACACATAGGAGGTCCCTGTACTGAGAAGAAATTACATCTACTTTCACCCCTGCAGTTGATATAATGACTACTCTACATGAGAGTGTAACATGCTGACCACACCGCTCACGAGTGTGCCATCGCACACATGTTGATTTTGTCCACCCACACCAGACGCGGTCAGGACACGCAGGTTGAAATATCAAAACGAACTCTGAACCAACTATATTAATTTGGGGACAGGTCGAAAAGCATTAAACATTTATGGCAATTTAACTAGCTAGCTTGCTGTTGCTAGCTAATTTGTCCTGGGATATAAACATTTGGTTGTAATTTTACCTGAAATGCACAAGGTCCTCCGACAATTAATCCACAGATAAAAGGGTAAACCAAGTTTGTTTCTAGTAATCTCTCCTCCTTCAGGCTTCTTCTTCTTCTTTGGACTTTATATGGTGGTTTGAAACCAACTTTAAGGTGCATTACCACCACCAACTAGACTGGAGTGTGGACCTCAATCACCCACGTGGGTATATACTCCTAAAAACCAATGAGGAGATGGGAGAGGCGGGACTTGCAGCGTGTCAAGCGTCACAAATAGAACCAAGTTCTATTTTAACATCTGGCTACGCAGACGCTCACGAGCAGTGTGGGTGCAATGATTGAATAACATGTATGTGTACATTTATTTTGCAACGCTCGCGCATGTAAGTATCTGTTCCCGAAGAACACCTTGTTCTCATCATAATGTAGAATGTTGTTGTCACGAAGTTCACAAAAGTGCCCATGTGTCCCCGTAGATCTCGTTCCAATTCCTAATTTAGGTTGGAGGGCAAAAAACACTTATCAGTTTTGCTGTGGAAAACACATGGACCTGGTCTTCTTGAATGAACTCCTCACACCCTGATAAAGGATTACGTCTGTTGAGGGGTGGGAGAGGTTTCAAGTAAACCTGGGGGTTCTCTGTAGGAAAAAGAATCACAGTTGAATAACACTGCAGAAAACAAAACAAAAATGCAAAGCTTCATTTGAAATGATGACAACAAATGTGTCAAGGCGGGATGACAGGATTACACTCTGATGTAGTATGCAGTTCACTGCCAAGCCATTGGATGGGTCCACAATCTCAGAAGATACGTTTTTCCTCTCTCCCATACCCTAAGTTATGAAAACACTGGTTTCAGGCCAAACTGAGTAGCCATCCGAGCCACTCATGCCGACATAAATACATCGTATAGTATACCTTTGATCCTGCCTCTTTCTCTCCTTCTCTCACTCTCTCTTTTTTTCCTATTGCGCTCGTCACCTAAGCCCTTTTCGGGGCCAGGAAAAACCCTGGATATGACCTGTGTGTTAACCCAACAAAGACTGCCCTCTAGTGCACAACAACAGAGATATTACAAGACAGCTGATGGCCCTTACAGGTGCCACCAGTGATGGTATTATAGATGGTTATATGGGTACTTACCAAGTCTTTGTCTCTGTCTGAGCTCTTGTGCAGACGCCAGTGTTACAGCCCCAGATGGCTGATACACTGCAGCATATCCAGGAAGACCAGGCTGAGGTTGTTCAGTGTCTTTGTTGATATAGGTCAACATGGTAGCAATGGAGTCCAGAACACCCAGTCTTGCAACCATGTTTTTCTCCATATTGACCCCGTTCTTGTGGGCATTCACTGCTGACAAAAATTAACAAATACATTGTGTTTAAAATACCCCTATTGTGTTTTTACTGAAACTTTGCTGACTGTAGGTATTAGAGATAAATACTTATGTCCTTCACGCGATGATGGTACCTCTCAAAGTGGTTGCAGTTGCCAATCATAGGTTATCCAAACACCTCTATCTGTTCCTCTATATGAACGCCACAATGAATGTTTCCACGATTGGCAACATAATTTTTTCCAGATCTATGAAAGACAGAAATGAATAAATAATACTACTGCAGCTACCTAGGGCCAATGTCACAATATTAATTAATTAATCCATCAATAAGTCTATTTAACTTACTTCAACAATAATTTGTGATGATCACACATTTTCTGCTGGAGGAGTTTGGCTTCAGCTTCATTGAGGTAAGGGAAACATATTCAGACAGCAGAACGTTGGCATTCTGAATCTGCCTACAGGTGTCGATGCCAATATACTGCACAGAGGCAGCAGTAAAGGATGGTGGGCTGCACAAAGCATCCCTGGTGATGAGAGGGAGGATCTGGAGAAGTTGTAGGACTTCAACTCCAGTGGCAGTAGGCAAGTGGTTCATGTCTGGAGGCTATTGATCAAATGAAAGATACATGAGTGGTGTACTGACAGACAGCATCTACCTACTTTAGCCAGTGTGGCCTGCCAAATGCCAAAATGAAATTTTCCTGGAACTTCTGGACAAGAGTTCTTTGCCCACTTTGAGGATAACACAGTGCCAACGACGCGGCCAGCTACCAAAGACTGTGGGCTCTCCTTCTCAGTGGCCGACGTGAATAAGACATTTAAACGTGTTAACCCTCGCAAGGCTGCCGGCCCAGACGGCATTCCTAGCCGCGTCCTCAGAGCATGCACAGACCAGCTGGCTGGTGTGTTTACGGACATATTCAATCTCTCCCTATCCCAGTCTGCTGTCCCCACATGCTTCAAGATGGCCACCAATGTTCCTGTACCCAAGAATGCAAAGGTAACTGAACTAAATGACTATCGGGGCGACATCTGTCATCATGAAGTGCTTTGAGAGACAAGTCAAGGATCATATCACCTCCACCTTACCTGTCACCCTAGACCCACTTCAATTTGCTTACCGCCCCAATAGGTCCACAGACGATGCAATTGCCATCACACTGCACACTGCCCTATCCCATCTGGACAAGAGGAATACCTATGTAAGAATGCTGGTGGTGAAGGTATGAAACAACATCTCCACTTCTCTGATCCTCAACACTGGGACTCCACAAGGGTGTGTGCTCAGCCCCCTCCTGTACTCCCTGTTCACCCATGACTACATAGCCATGCACGCCTCCAACTCAATCATCAAGTTTGCAGACGACACAACAGTAGTAGGCTTGATTACCAACAACGATGAGACAGCCTACAGGGAGGAGGTGAGGGCTCTGGGAGTGTGGTGCCAGGAAAATAACCTCTCACTCAACGTCAACAAAGCAAAGGAGATGATCGTGGACTTCAGGAAACAGCAGAGGGTGTACCCCCCTATCCACATCGACAGCAGTGGAGAAGGTGGAAATGTTTAAGTTCCTCGGCGTACATATCACTGACAAACTGAAATGGTCCACCCACACAGACAGTGTGGTGAAGAAGGCGCAACAGCGTCTCTTCAACCTCAGGAGGCTGAAGAAATTTGGCCTGTCACCTAAAACCCTCACAAACTTTTACAGATGCACAATTGAGAGCATCCTGTCGGGCTGTATCAACGTCTGGTACGGCAACTGCACCGCCCACAACTGCAGGGCTGTCCAGAGGGTGGTGCGGTCTGCACAACGCATCACTGGGAGCAAACTACCTGCCCTCCAGGACACCTACAGCACCCGATGTTACAGGAAGGCCAAAAAGATCATCAAGGACAACTACCACCCGAGCCACTGCCTGTTCACCTGCTATCATCCAGAAGGCGAGGTCAGTACAGGTGCATCAAAGCTGGGACCGAGAGACTGAAAAACAGCTTCTATCTCAAGGCCATCAGACTGTTACACAGCACAGAGAGGCTGCTGCCTACACACAAACATGAAAATCACTGGCCACTTTAATAAATGGAACACTAGTCACTTTAATAATGCCACTTTAATAATGTTTACATATCTTGCATTACCCATCTCATATGTATATACTGTATTCTATATGATCTATTGCATCTTAGCCTATGCCACTCTGATAATGACATTGCTCATCCATATATTTATAAATTGTTATTCCATTCCTTTACTTAGATTTGTGTGTATTAGGTATTTGTTGTGGAACTGTTAGATATTACTTGCTAGATATTGCTGCACTGTCGGAACTAGAAGCACAAGCATTTCGCTACCCTCGCAATAACATCTGCTAACCATGGGTATGTGACCAATACATTTGATTTGATTAGATTTTGATTTTGGGTCTGAGAGCAGAGCCTTGTCCACTGTGTAGATTTGACATCTGAAAACAGAAAACGCACCTATTTAACTTTAAGAGGGATATTAAATAATATTTGACTTATAAAAAGCATTCTTTCAAGGCTTACCTTTTCTGTTATTTGTAAAATAAATAATGGATCCCCATTAGCTGTTGCGAAAGCTGCAGCTACTCTTTCTGCAGGTGACAAGCAGATGGCACAGTAATTGGCATGTCCGAGTTGATCTTGCCAATTCCTCCACACACGAACACACTGTAGCCTTGTTGGAGTTTCTCAATGTATGGGATGATCGCCTCCATACATTGATCAAATTATGTGCCTGTCACACATTCAGATTATAAAGTTAATCTCTGAATGAAAAAGAAACATATAGAAAAGCACAATCAATTTGTAAATTATACCTGGCTCTCCAAGACCAGTGTCGTGACGTGATATATTATTGTGATTACTATTATTTATCGAATAATTACCTACTATGTTTAATTGTTACTAGATTAAATTAATCATGTAACAATTAACTCATTAGGAATTTGGGGCACCATGGGAAAAGTTGTTTAACTACTTACCGTTTCCCAAATTAACTCTTAAGATATCTCTTATAATTTATTAATCATTTACCTCATATCTATCTCATTCTGAAAGTCGTAGACTCTTTAAGTCTGCATGAACCCGGGTCTTACTGATCATTCCGTACCACACAAATTGTTTTAATTATTTATTTACTAACTAATTAAAAATGATAACACAAGATACAAACACGTACACAGTATAGGTAGGGATTAGAAACTTAATACAATGGAAACGGGTCCCTAGCGGACTAACACAATATGACACTTGTTACAAAAGATGGCGAGTTAAAAAGAGAGCGAGAAAGAAAACACTTTGATACACATGGACCTACGCTCACAGTAATCCTAATACCTTGCCCCGAACTGCCGCCTGTTTGGTAAGAAGTAATGCATATTTACGTATTGGAGGTCTTCGTCGTGTATCTCTGTTGGACCCAGGCCTTCGTGGGAAGGGGTCGTTTGGGCCTTCACTTTCGGATGGCCTTTTAGATGTAAGGCTCAGATTGTCCACAAGAGGTCACAATGTCCTTCTCCTTAGTTGTCTGTTTACTTTCACTCGTTCTGGAAGTGGTCTTCTGAGGACGGCTAATCAGCTGTGTCGATGATCCCCTGTGGGGCGATGAGAGCAGTGTAGTAGATGATGGTTTGAAGAGAGTAACAGGATGGTCCCACTTAAATTTTCAGGGTCGGGACCAAAATGGACCTCGCTGCAGCTTGAGGTCCGTCTAGTGTGATCTGATAATTCTTAACTCAATCTTTTATGCACTCTGGTAAAGAGGGGCGTTTCCGTCATACTTGTCACGCCCTGGCTCTGGGGACTCTCGTATGTTGAGCCAGGGTGTTAGGTTCTAGTTTTGTGTTTCTATGTTGGCCAGGGTGGCTCCCAATCAGAGACGGCTGTAGCTCGTTGTCTCTGATTGGGAGCCATACTTAGGTAGCCGTTAGGCATTCGTTTGGTGTGGTTTCTTGTTCCTTTTGATTTGTGTTTGTACCGTAGGACTTCACGTATCGGCCTGGTCCACGGGGGAGAGACAAGCCCAACATTTTTAGGGGGGGGCTCACACCGTGGACGACGGGGCAGCAGGAGTACGGGATAGAGTGGTTCCGAGGGTTGGCAGCTTAATCATCTACTTGGACTCTATTCTATGTACGTCCATGGTCTTGGCTAAATGACTCTATCATGACATTTGTCTAATGTCATATCTAGGGCGATCCTTCTTGAAGGTAGTGAAGGCACTCTCTAAAATGGCACCCTGAATGACAAAGCTTCCATTGGTGGCACTACAGGGCTGACCTAGCGAACTCTGGGGAAGAAGCTGGGGATGCTGTGGATGGGTCACCTGATGGGGTTTTGGAATCTATTGTCAGTTTTCTGAAAATCGGGATTGCTTCCGTCCCACAGGTGATCCTAGCATAAGACCTCATTAGGTCTTCCATTGCGCCTGTGTACATAGTAGGTGCACACGCCAAGGGCAATAAGACCAAGGATCATGGTAACAGTCAGGATACTGTCCGACACCGTCCAAGAGCGGGTGACAGACCAATCTTTTGGGTTATAGGCAATCGGGTCAACTAAAGGTGCCTCATTCAGTACGCTAAGATGAACAGTCATCAGTCCCTCGTACTGAATTTGGTTTTGAATAGCTGGTGGTAACTCAAGGGAATGTTTAGCAAAAGCGTCAGGCATTTCAATATCTGTGTCTATCCTGTCGTCAGGAAGTTGGTATAGGGCTAGGTCATCTATGTGTATAATCGCCCCCCTCTGGTACCTTAACAGAAATTGTCTGATTGGGGAGGTTCAGTTGGGTGGTTGAGTCATGGCGTTCGTAAGTCATAGTGGCGGACGTGAATGGGGTGTTAATCAGCCATTGATTCCCTACCACTCTCATTTGCATTTCACATTTACATTTACATAATTTAGCAGACGCTCTTATCCAGAGCGACTTACAAATTGGTGCATTCAACTTAGGATAGCCAGTGGGACAACCACCTTTTTTTTTTTTTTATGGGGGGTGGGGGAAGAAGGATTACTTTATACTATTCCAGGTATTCCTTAAAGAGGTAGGGTTTCAAGTGTCTCCGGAAGGTGGTCAGTGACTCCGCTGTCCTGGCGTCGTGGTGGAGCATGTTCCACCATTGGGGTGCCAGAGCAGCGAATAGCTTTGACTGGGCTGAGCAGGAACTATGCTTCCGTACACTGTTGGCATTCTCTCAACCAGCCTCATGAGGCAGTCACCCGGAATGCCCTTCCAACAGTCTTGAAGGAGTTCCAACATACAGTTGAAGTCGGAAGTTTACATACACTTAGGTTGGAATCATTAAAACTCATTTTTCAACCACTCCACAAATTTCTTGTTAATAAACTATAGTTTTGGCAAGTCGGTTAGGACATCTAATTTGCATGGTGGTGACTCCACCTCTTGCTGTTAGTTTGGCTCTACAGTGTTCTTCGCTTTTGATAGGCTTAAGGCCACAAAGGCTCTCAGTGTTATCCCTGACGAGGGGTTTGCTAGGACACAAGTAGTGGACGTCTTTGGTTAGAGTACACATTAACAGGTTAGGGGTGAGATAGAAATCTGGATTGTGTTCCTGATAAGCTATGACTGGAGGTGTGATGATTTTCACATGGGTTTTGTCACGCCAAAATCCTACGTTTAGAACTGTTTTCAACCTATAGATATTCTCCAGTTCAACAACCGGCAGCATCAGTAAAAATCCCACTTCATTTCAATTAACATCAACGTGTATTGGAATTGCAGACCCGAGACTATAGGTCAGGTGTGACTGTAATGGCTTTATCATGGTTGTGGTAGCTGAGGTCGATATGTTGGGCACCATTGAGAGGGGCACTAGATATGAGGGGATTCTATTCATGGCCAAGTGGTCCATAGAAGAGCTTACTTCACTGAGAAAATCCTCCAACAACAATTGAACCAATTGGACATGGGCATAGGCATGGTTCATGACTTCTACTAGCTTGCCTACCGACAGGAGGGTTTTGTTCAGGAGAGTAGCGTGTGTGTTTACCACCAGAATAGTGTCCTGGAAAGACTTTCCAACATGCTGCAACCTGGATAAGTGACATCTCTTCAGTAATCTCCCTAACATTTATTTTGACCGCGGCTAGACTGAGTGCGTTGACGGCTGTGGTATCTAGAGCAAATAGTGACCCTACGGCTGCACCTGTTGAGAGTAGCGCCCTGAGGAATCGTTTTTCTCGCCTGGGCTCTGCTAGTTCTGACTGGGTGACTGTGAACTTTTGGAGTTGGGCCAACATGTGGGCAGTGTCTAGCTGAGCGTGCTTAACTGCCTGGGTGGTCCAGTCTGCCCTGTCCCAACTCATATGTGCCGCAGGAGAAATGTGTTGGCGGGACACGTTCTCTGCATCTAGGCGGACGTGCACCCTCTGCGTGTGTACTCTGCAGTTGGTTATAAGGAGTCCGGGATCATCACGGAAAACGATTCCGTAGGGGTTCCACTCGTGAGTACATCTGTTGGATTGGTTTCTGACCAGGGCACAGAGTGTCAGGATCATCCAAGGGAACTCCATCCTACAAAAACGCATAATTACAGATTTTATTATTTCAGTGTTATTATTATTATTATTATTTAAAACAAATTGAAAGAAAAACGTTTTGACAAAACATTTTAGCTGATTTTCCTATTTTGTACAGCACAACACAGGACACTATCAACAATGACAACGAAATGTGTGTCTTGTAGCTGGGAAGAGCAGAAAATATGTCAGAGGCAATGTACTGACCTCCCGGAAGGGATCAGCTGAGGATACTTAAGAATTTTCTTAGTACCTCTGATTGGCTAGGTTTCTATCTATTCGAGGCTGGCTTGCACCCCTTCTATTCCCATGGGGGAGTGTACAACTTGATTTGGTTCCTGTGGACCCACTTGAACGTGATGTTCTGTCGACCTTTGCTGATTCTGATTTGATAAGCAACAGGTGACAGCTTTAACACAATCTCCAACGGAGCAGGAACTTTTTCGCAACTCCCACGGGTTTGGTGTATACGTAGTACCACACCGTATCCCCAACCTCAAACTCCTGGTGTGAGGCCTTTTTGTCATAATGGGTCTTGTCACCTTCCGCACTTATTTCCAACTTTCCTTGAACGTACGCAAAGGTAGTCTAGAGGTGGGTTCGCAGGTCTGTCTCGTATTGATGGGCCGTGTACACAGTGGCCGCGGCGACATCTCCCAGTTGGTACAGGAGATGCAGTGGAAGTGTCATTTGGCGGCCCGTCATAATCTCAAATGATGTTATTCCCATAGACCTGTTGCGTGTGGCTCTGATCGACATAAATACCAGTGGGAGTTTGAGGTCCCAATCTTTGTGGTTGGCTGCCACATATTTCCTCAAGATTGTGACGATTGTTTGGTTGCTCCTTTCTACCCTGCCGGAGCTCCTAGGGTGGTATGCGATGTGGAGTTTAGCTTTGACTCCCAGGAGCCACCACAGTTCGGTCATTACAGCAGCCGAAAAAAATTAGTTCCTCTGTCGCTGTCCACTGTTTCTCCTGGCAGGTCGAAACGACTGAAAACATGGTTGAGCAAAAGAACGGCCGTGGTTTCCGCTGTGTCAATGGGTGGGGGCAGGCACTCCACCCACTTTGTGAATGTGCAAGTCACTGTGAGGAGATACTTGTTGCCTCTTGCTGACCTGGCAATTGGGCCGACCCAGTCGATCTGGATCGAGCTCCAAGGGTGCTCTGTGAAGTGGCTTGGAGGGTTGAAACTGGCAGCAAACTAGACACCCCCTCACGTATTGTGCCACATCTTGTTCCATGTGAGGCCAGTGTGCCACCTGTTGCAATGTTTCACATGAAGCCTTGACTCCCCTATGCCCCCACATGGCTCATCGTTGGCATGAGCTATCATTATCCCCCTCTGTGTTTTAGGAATCACGCACCTTTGTGTGGCGTCAGTTTCTGAAACATAAACCAGTAGGTAATCTACAAGTGTGAGGTGCTGTTTAGTTGCGTACAGTGAACGCAAGTCGTGTGAGCCTGCCAAAGCCAGCTCGGACACTGGGTGATTGATAAGATCAGACAAGAAAGCCATGAAAGTGGCGAGGGACTCATCTTGGTGTTGCATTGCTACCAGGTCACCATTCAAGAATGAATGAGTTAGCAACACATTATGTTTGTGCGAAGATGATTCCCACGGTGCTACATGGTTACGCGTTACTGCAGACACCATGGGCGCCTCAGTGATCATTGCGTCCCGAGCATCGAACACCCAAGGGGTTCCGTGAATTGCACCAGATTTGTAGCGAACCAACACTGCGTCTATTCCTCCCCATTCGGCGTTGGCCCACTCAAGCGCTCTCCCCAACAGACAGGAGATGAGGGCGGACACGCTCTCGTATCCCGAGGGAGCCGGGTGGATGGTCGCCAGGTAGAGCTCCACCTGGAGCAGGAACCCCTGGCACCCGGCAGCCGTCCCATCATATGCCCTCGGGAGCGAGAGCCGAATCCCACTGGGTCCAGGTGACGGAGGGGTGGACATTGGTGTGGGTTGACCTGAAGTTGCTGGGGTTGTAGGAAAACCCCCTCTCTCCCATCGCTCCATGGTCTGCAACACGCGATCCATTGCAGTGCCCAGATTCTGGAGCATCGTCACGTGCTGCTGGACGCGCTCCTCCACGGGTACCGGCGGACTGGCTGCACCTGCTGACTCCATATTAGGTGCGTGTTTCTGTCAGGTGTCAAATGTGCAGCGTTAGGACGGAGTCAGGCGCAGGACACAGAACTGAGTACACAACGTACTTTACTTAGAAAAAAACTAACACTAATTTCCACGCAGGGAAAACACACCAGCTCACAAAAGTGTATGACACAACACAACGAACAAACACGCACAAAACCATGTGGGAACCAGAGGGATCCAAGATGGCGTAGCAGTGCGGTCGTGTTCTTTGTTGTGTGTCCATGTAAATAGGCTGTTTAAATTATTTTTTTTTTATATATTTTTTTTTACATATTTCCCTTTCACACTTTTCATCCTACTACTAAATATACTTTCCTTCAACCCGCCTCACTCAATGTGGAACGGATTCTATTATTTACTCATCTTTATCAAGAATCTCCAGTTGAAACTAGCTAGCAAGCTAACTAGCTACTTGCTATTAGCCACCATTAACGGTTTTCACCCAGAACATCCGATCGCAACTAGCTAGCCGCAACCGAATGGATGTTGCTGTAGGATAATCACCACTGCCCCTGAAGCAAGCACCAGTTAGCCTTGAGCCAGGCCCATATCCCGGCTATCTACCTTTTTGTCTACCGGACGGGAGTAGCCAGATAACTAGCTACTTGCTATTAGCCACTGTTAGCGGTTTTTCACCATTGTCCGTGGCCTGCACTACCTACCAGCCAGCTCTAGCCTGGACTATTATCGGCCAGTCTGCACTGTCTGCACAGCGTGTTATCGACCCAGAACATATTGGATTTTCTGCCGGAATCACTAAATCAATGGACCTTTAACACCTGATCATTGCAACCTGCTAGCTGCAACCAAATGGATGTTGTTGTTGGCTAATAAGCCTTGAGCTAGCCTCGAGTCAGGCACATCTCCCGGCTATCTACCTCTCTGTCAACCGGACGGGACCTCCTAGAGTCGACACGGAGCCCCGCCGATCCATCACGACTGGTCTGCCGACGTAATCGTCTGGTTTCAACAGGCTTCCCGTTGCGAAGACCACGGAGATCCATCTGCTAGCCCCGGCCCACTAGCACACGCAAACAACAGCCGTGCTTCCTGCTCGCTGTGCTTTAGCACCAATTCAAACTGCTCTCGGACTCACATATTGCTGTTCACTGGACCTTATGATCACTCAGCTGCACAGCTGATGCCTGCTGGACTGTTCCTTTACACGGTACCCTGTCCTGTTTATCCGTTTAGCTTCAGCCCAAACTTTGCTGCCACCACCATGCTTCACTGTGGGGATGGTGTTCTCGGGGTGATGAGAGGTGTTGGGTTTGCGCCAGACATAGTGTTTTCCTATATGGCCAAAAAGCTCAATTTTAGTCTAATCTGACCAGAGTACCTTCTTCCATATGTTTGGGGAGTCTCCCACATGCCTTTTGGCAAACAAACGCGTTTGCTTATTTTTTTCTTTAAGCAATGGCTTTTTTCTGGCCACTCTTCTGTAAATCCCAGCTCTGTGGAGTGTACGGCTTAAAGTGGTTAAATGGACAGATACTCCAATCTCCGCTGTGGAGCTTTGCAACTCCGTTATGGTTATCTTTGGTCTCTTTGTTGCCTCTCTGATAAATGCCCTCCTTGCCTGGTCCGTGAGTTTTGGTGGGTGGCCCTCTCTTGGCAGGTTTGTTGTGGTGCCATATTCTTTCCATTTTTTTTATAATGGATTTAATGGTGCTCCATGGGATCATCAAAGTTTCTGATATTTTTTTATAACCAAACACTGATCTGTACTTCTCCACAACTTTGTCCCTGACCTGTTTGGAGAGCTCCTTGGTCTTCATGGTGCCGCTTGCTTGGTGGTGCCCCTTGCTTAGTGGGGTTGCAGACTCTGGGGCCTTTCAGAACAGGTGTATATATACTGAGATCATGTGACAGATCATGTGACACTTAGATTGCACACAGGTGGACTTTATTTAACTAATTATGTGACTTCTGAAGGTAATTGGTTGCACCAGATCTTATTTTGGGGCTTCATAGCAAAGGGGGTGAATACATATGCACGCACCACTTTTCCGTTATTTATTTATTTGAATTTTTTGAAACAAGACATGAAATCCAAATAGAAATCCATTTAAATTACAGGTTGTAATGCAACAAAATAGGAAAAACAGCAAGGGGAATGAATACTTTTGCAAGGCACTGTATGGCTACTGAACTGAAAACAGCAAGAATGATGACAGCAACACTTGCTATGTTTTGCATAGGCCTATAGGATATAGCCTACATTTTAGGAGGATGATTTGCAGGCAGAGACAAATACATTTGTAATCCATACTTATTTAAAATGAAAAGCCGCAACGCTCGCTCAACATAGTAGGCTAACCTATTTGAGCATTGTGCCTTTTCCTTTTCAGTGATGATAAATTTTTTGATTGCACTTAGACTCACGTTTGTTGAGCACCCTCCACTTCTTTTCATTATCAATATTTATTTACAGACAATGTAGTAAACTACAGTCTAATCATATTTAAGTTAATTTCATATTCAAGTTAACTGCCATGTGATTCTCCGCTCATGTAGGCAGCCTACTCTATTTCAATGAGACCACACATACTAGGCGCACTTGAAATCTCACAACCAACTAGGAGAGGTAGGCTACAGAAGATGAAGCAGGGAATTCTGAGTGTGTGAATAATGCAAAAAATATGTGCTTTTAATACAATGGGTAGGCTAACGCATACAAAGCAGAAATGGGACCGTTTCAAAATAATCTGTGGGACAGCAAAAATATTTTCATTCCAAAGTCGTTTGTCTGAACGCCCGCTCCCGCCCGCAGAATGAAAAATGATCTCTGTCGGGACCCGCAGGTCCTGGAATCCAGCCCTCTAG